GGCAGTTCAAAAACCGGATTAACAAAATTTCTTTGCGATCCTGAGAGCAGCCGCGGTGTCCCGGCATTTAGACTTGTCTGCCTGCGCGGCAGATTCAGTATAAAAAAAATCAACGCCTGCACAGCTCCATTGCACTCAGCCTTCGTTTGATTCAGAATAGAGATGGGAACAATAAAAACATTCTGTATCTTCGTTTCCTTCAACAGACGTGAAATCCTTTCTGTCTCTTTGCTTTGCTCCTGTTTTCTTAGTATTTCCTTTAATGATCTTCCTTTTAGTTTTCATTTCCAGGTTCTGATTCTTTTCCACTTTCTTGTTTTGCACGCGTTAGGTAGTTCCCCCCGATACGTTTTACATTTTTTGATTTGGTCGCCGTTGCTTTTGGAAAAGCCATAATCATTTTTGAGCTAATAATTTCTTATGTTCTTATGTTTTCACATGCCTTCTCCTTATTTTGTTAGAAGATCCAGTAACATACAAAATTTGGTTATCTGCTCCAGGAAAATTGTATGCATCAGTTGATGCTACGGTTGGTGGTGTTGATTGATCTAATATTGTCTTTGGAACAGCATAGGTTTCGGTGGCCCTTCTAAAACCCATTTTTGAGTTCTTATTTTTGGAATGCGTGCTTCATATTTTCTCGTCCCATAACTGCCGGTTTGTTTTTCTTTGATAATTATGAACCATCTGAAACAAAAACAAAAAAATGCAAAACTTTACACAAATATGCCGCAATATAAAGGAAAAACGGACTAAGGCACGTATTGTCCGGTCCATTTTGCTTTTTCTGTAATTCCAAGTTAAAGAGAAATTTTGAGGTAATGTGTGCAACCATTTTCATCACCGAGGTAAGGCGTTGTTATTATTAGTGTGTAAAAAACTAGAATTTCGCACCGTAAACTTACCAGCCAAGCAAAACTTTAGTTTTCCTTCTTTTTTTAGAACAGCAGACGAAGATAATTTGATCTACGAGTCTTACCTACCAGAGGGCGTCCCATTTTGGGTAATGTTCTTATGGATGCATATCCCTAGCTACGGCTTATCGCTGCTAGATATTACTATAGATTGCACCGTATTTAGCATCCTGTCACTTACTGCCATACAGTTCAAGCTTTTAGCATACGAGATGCAAAACATTTTTGCAGAAGCGACTGATTATTTCACAATAAAGGATAAGTTTAAGAGATGCAATGATCAACTTTCGTTTTTGCTGTGGTAAGTGTATGAAGTATGTGATGTTTTTACATTGATAACTAAACTTTTTAGAGTCGAATCGGTGGAGTGTTACCATTTTTCAACTCAACAGTACAACCTAATATGAAATTGACCTGAACGGGTCAAAAATTAATAATGTAGTGATCAGCGATCTATTACTATAGATTCATGTTTTTTTGTAAAACTAGATAAGCTTATCATATGTGACCAATTTATTTCAAAGCTATCAAAGTAAATTGGGTGGCAGAGTGGTGAGGGAGTGATTATGTACTGCTGAGTAACCAGAACTTCAGCTTCTTTTAAAAATTGTTTAGAGTATAATGTGGAAATTCATATGGAAGACTATTGTATAACTGGGCAGCAGTATAATAGAAGCTCTTTTCGTAGAGACGTAAAGTGCTTAGTATAAGTAATAATTGTCGATTTTTGGTAGCCAAGTTATTGATGCTTTCAAATTTGTTGAGTTTATTTAAAACAAATTCTGGTTTCTTATTCACTGAAATTTTATGGATCAAACATGGACTTTGGTGTTTTCTGGGATTCTTCATGTTCATTTTATAATTCTCTTTGTACATATGGCTTATGCGATCAAATGTCCGTATACCTAGAGAGAAACGGAAACAAGAATTTTGTATCCATTGTAGCTTGTCTTTATCATTTTTTATTATAGCTGGGCCATATACACTTGCGCAGTACGAAACCCTTGAAATTATAAGAGCATATCACAATAGCATTTTCAGTTTATTGTTTAATATACTTCTTTGATAATAAACATATTTTATAAATATATATATATATATATATATATATATATATATATATACAGGGTGTCCGCAAGGTTGGGGTTTTCCTTTTCAGAAACAACTACCCTTGAAATAACAAAGGTAATGTGTAGTGAAACGAGGGCGACCAAGTAAAAAAAAATAAAGGAAAAAGTACTCACTCTCCAGTTGACGAGAACGGCTAAGTACGTCTCTGCCCGAAATCATACCGCTCCAACAGAAAATGAAATCAGCTGAAGCGCTACCGAGCAGACGCAGAAACCACATTGATTGTCTTACACTTAATGGCACATCTTCTAACAAGGAAGGCAAAATGTTGCGTAAAAAGTCTAGGTATTGCATCCCTTCTAATCGATATGGGAGAATAAATGGTCCAATGAGCATACCGTTCACCATGCCAGCCCAAACATTCACCGAAAATGTTTGTTGAAAATGTGCCCAATGGACAGCGTGCGGATTTTCTACTGACCAAACATGAGTGTTGCCAAAGTTATTCACCCCATTACGCGTGAACGTACATTTGTCTGTCACCAATATGCACTTCAAAAAGTCCGGATTATTGTCATGTTGATGCAACAACCACTCACAAAACCGCACTCTTGCTGGAAAATCGTCACGTTGAAGGGCTTGTACACGTTGGACGTGAAACGGATACAGCCCCTCTTCACGCAGCGTTTGCCACACTTTAGTTTTTGATACTTGCACTGCTCTAGCCACGTCTCTAGTGCTTGTTGAGGGATTCACGTCTACGCGATTACCTCTACACGCGTGACCGTAACCGTCGGTTGAAGGTTGCATACTGACCTGACACACTGACCCCCGACCCAGTTCTGTCGTCGGGTTGATCCAGTGACCTTGTACCAGTCGGTGATGTCGCGGCTACAGGACGGTATTCAGTTATTTTTGATGTTGCAGAGACCTTTATCTCGGTTCCCTTAAGACATTGGTGTATATGGTACTAAGAAAAATTGCTTATGTTTTCAAGATCTACACGTCGTGTAAAGGAAAACCCCAACTTTGCGGACACCCTGTATATATATATATATATATATATATATGATTTCGAGCATAATTATTTAATATGCAAATCAAATTTTAATTCATTGTCCAACAATAACCCTAAATTTTTGCTAATGGTTACAATTGCTAAAGGAATTTTATTAATTGCTAATCGACAAAGATTTTATAGCTATATTACGCTTGTTTTTTGACCCAAAAAAACATTATTTTAGATTTATTAGCATTTAGTGTCAAGTTATGAGCTGCTGAGATATTGAAGAGTAAGTCCAGATCGTTGTAAATTAGACTAAAAGAGAGTACCTCATCGTCAATGGCAAAGTTGTAGTATATTTGTATATCATCTGCATAGTGATGTACTTTGCTGTGTTTTATATGTTTTGAAAAGTCGGAAATGTATATAGAAAATAAAAGATGACTGTGAATGGAGCCTCGGGGTACACCAATTTTTAGGACCGATCTATTAGATATTTGGTTTTACAGGAGATATAAGCTGGGCGGCAGCATTGCTAAATCCATAATATCTCTAAGCTTGGCACATAAAATGTGTTTTTTAGATATATATCATAAAAATCTTTTAATTTACCTGTTGTACATGTTCGTAATTGACTTTTTTCTCAAATGATTTAAACTGTGCTGAAATTAATCCTTTATGAAAGGATGACGGCATTGCTTAGTCAACCTACTTGACGCCATTTATTAATTGTCACAGATAATGGGTATTATGTGTGACAATTCCTGAGAACCTAGCATATTTTTTTATACTCCAACTACCACGAAGCTCTAAGGCCTAAATACCACCCTTGGGGTGTAACGTGAGGCTATAGGGAGAAACAGGGAAAAGGAGGGGGTTCCCCGGTCACACGAATTCTGGCGAGAGAACACGTTTACATGCAGCATGCACACATTCTGACCCCACCTACGAGATCCGCCGGGTGGTACCTCCGCGTTCGACAGTTAGAGACCGTCTACCACCTACTATATGCAAAATAACTTGGCAAAAGCTCAACAAAATTGATCCATCAGTAACTAAAGTTACGTGGCGACAATAGCAACTTGCAGTGACATCAAAAGAGACTCTTATATGTCGTTTTTTCGTCAGCAAAGTGCACCTAGATCTTTTAATTAGAATTTTTGACTACCGATAATGTATCTTTGTATTTCAGTTTCAAGACTCTCTTAAACGACACCTTATCAACAATGATGCTTATGTACCTTGGAATGGTTATATTGATTCTGTGCCTAGAGATGTACTATATTATGACTATGTAAGTATTCCTTTGAGAGCATGTCCTTTTGCATGTTTTCAGAGTAAGCATGCTACAAGTTCTATCAGCAAGGGCCAACCTTACCCAGCAATTTTTTTTTTGAAAACTAGGAACTCACACATGCCATTTTGATAGAGAATATCGATGCCATTTTTCCGAAACAAGCTAAAAAACAACGAAATCTATGTTTTTCTGCACATCTAATGAAGCAGTATCTGTTAAAATCCGCCATTTCGACCTTTCAAAATTATAGTAAGCCCAGTTTTACGTGTACTCTCACGACTAGGGATTTATCAAGTAGCTTGATATTTTGATTAACTATTTGGCATGAAAATAAAATTACATCAAATATTAATGCTTGACTTGGTTTCATTTTTTTATTGCTGTACTTGATTTTTAGTCAAGCATTTTCAAACGAGTTGATACTTGTTGACAAATCATATTTGAGTTTTCCTAAAGACCTTTGGTGATATTTATTCGTACAAATGAGCATTTTGCATTTTACTGCAAGTAATCACGTAGAAAACAGGAATTCGGTAGATTCAAGGACAAAATCGGTAGGAAGAAAAAATCAGCGACGGATTAAGGGCTTTTGAACTACGCAGAGCCCTATATGAAAAGTGTATTTTCATATACCGCGGACAGATAACACAAATACCGAGGTTTTCTATAAAAAATATACAAACAAAACAAAATGAAACTCAAAAACTGATTTTACATGTTTTCGAGAACAAAATATAATTTCCATAGCGTACACATACAACAGGCACAACTTAAAAATAATTAATATCTTATAGGAGTGTGGTTCAAGAATTCGGTCAGTTGTCAGATCCATTATTTTTCGTTTTACCACCAATTTAAATCGAGTAGGACCCTAGTGTGTAGCGAATGTAAAGCTAATTTAGAATTTTTCAGGGACTCTTTCCAAGAAATCGCCCGTGCATTTTTGTATGCAGCATTGATATTCTTCGAGTTCCTCATTTGTTATTGCGTTCCTTCCCAGGAGTTAATTGACGAGGTAATATATTTCACTAAATACACACTAACATAATTTGAATTAGGCTATATTTAAGCATATCGGGTGTAATCGGTTGATCCTTTAGTTAACTATGAAAATGGCGTTAAGAACGTTTTGTAAGTCCCCGAATTCCCGGAGACAGAAAGAGAGAGAGAGATAGAGACAGAAGAAACAGAATTTTTGCAAGACAGTTTTGCCTGACTTTAATTGGGAGGCATGTCAAAATAAAAGTACATTAACATTGCCACTTTTTCCTTCTACAAATAACTTAGCAGATATGTTACTAATTAAAAATTAGGAAAAGTCATTCAATTAAGTGTTCTATGTGTTGACACAACCTTGATGTTTTCTATAAGCAATTTTCTTAGATCTTCTTGAGATATGTTTTCAATGGCTGTTCCAATTCTATTTTCCAGTACTTCTAGAGACGGTGGAGGAGTGGCATAAACTTTTTATACAAGTAGCCCCAAATTGAAAAATCCAGAGGGGTTAAATCTGGCGACCTTGCAGGCCAACGGATTGGTCCGTTGGTTTCTAGCCAATTTCCACCGAATCGGTCATTTAAGTAATTAGTTGTAACCCTAGAGTTGTGGGCGGGGGCGCCATCCTGCTGCTAATAAATGTTCGTTGATCTGCAGATTTTCTATAAAATGTTCTATTTGGTTTTGTAAAAATTCCAAGTACATATCACCATTTAACGCTTGATAGAAAAATATAGGACCAACGATATTACGCCCTGTTACGCCTAACCAAACATTCACTCCAAAACGTTCCTGGAAGGCACCTTCTCTCAGCAGCATTTGCCCAATACAGAGTGTTTTGATGAAACATCGCTAGATTGTTGGGCTAGTACTTTGATCAGATCTTCTGTTTACTAGTCCCTTTTGCAGGGAATTCATATTGTTTCTTTGTTTTTAATTTTTTTTTCTCTTTGTATTTTTTTGTTCTGCAAATAAACGCTATTATTATTATTATTATTAGTCAACCTGGATTCATCTGAAAAAATAATATGGTGATGGAAGACAGCATTTATGTTCAGATTATTCAAAAACCAGTTGCAATAATAAAGCCGTCTTGGAAAATAATTTTCAAACAGACGGTGAAGAATTTGGTACTTAAAAGATTTAAAACCATTTGGCCAATAGAAGCAGTACGATCATATTCTACGTACGCTGGATCGTTTATTTCGACTTCTTCGCTTACTATAAAAACATTACAATTAACAGGATCGTTATGTTTATTTTTCAAAATTTCTACGAGCCAAGGATACTAAGCGTGTGATGGAGCTTGACGATCTGGAAACCTGATATAATATTGCGGCGCGCCTCGAATTTTCTTGGCATTCACCATAACTTAAATAAGGAACATGTCGATTTGATCATCTCTTGAATAATTCATTATACTTTGTAGCAGTTAAGAGCAGAAACGCCAAGTATTGTTTGGAAGGGTTACAGAGATGTTGAAAAATAAAAAAAAAATACCGAAAAATGTGTTGTATCTTTGTTAGGAAATGTTTTCACTCTGGGTGATTATCATGAAAGGTGAAAATTTTGAGTACTCGTTAAAAAATATCATTTTATAAAAAAAAATCCAAGTGTTAATAATGGAGGTACATTTTTAAAGTTAAGGAATATTCATAACTAATAAGTGCATAGTCTTTAATATTTCTGTTTTTTTATTTATAACCAAAAAACGTATGAAAACCTCACCTCCGTGACTGTTCTCTTTTACCATTGCCATCACAGGGCTACATAAAAACTATTACTAAGGAAGAAATCTATAGAAGTTTTATCTTGAATCTCCAGAATTTGTTTTTGTAGAAGAGATATGAACAAAACTTTTATTTTGGAATATCATGTAATTTACTGTTTGCGCCTCAACCCCTGTTCTGGAAAGTAGGTATCACCTCCGTGACGTACTTTTTGATGCAGATTTCGGCTCACAGATGGCGAACTATTCAATTTCTGGCATTGTATCGCGTTACAGCAAACCACGACCTATTTCGTTCAGTCGATATTAGGGATTGAAAGTGATCAGACGGATTCTCTCTTTAGTTTAAGACTTGTTAACCACGTGGAACCTTTGTTGTTCTCACATCCGTGAATTTTTTTTTTGGTAAGTAAATAAGAAAAATGCGTAGTTTTAATATTGATAAGTGACATAATATTCCCACTAGAGCTGGTTTGAAATTTACTTGTGCAAGACATTTTCACAACAAGTTATTAAAGAAAAATATGGTAATTCCTCACTTCCGTGAGCCTCACCTCCGCGAAGTTACCAGTTCACGGAGGTGAGACATTGTAATGGTTTAGTGAATTGAAGTATAATATATGCACCGACATTTTCAGAAGATGGCTCGTTTAAAAGTACAGAACAAAAATACAAAAGCTCATCACGAAGCAAAGAAAAGAAGGCAGCGCGAAGCTATGAGAAGGCTACGTGAATCAAGGCGACAGGATCCCGAGAAGTATGAAGAAGACAAGCGAAAAGAACGGGAACGGTATTACCGGAGAAAAGAAGCAGGCCAAATTAAAACCAGTGACCAAATGTCAGAAAGAGAAAAACGGAATCAAAGGAAAGAGTGGCGGAATAGAAGTAAAAAACACTATCTTGGAAAGAAAAATGCAAAGGAGCTCGAGCTTAAATTACAAGAAAACTCACCACCTGCCACTCCAATCCCGGAAGAACTAATGGCTGAAGCACTATATGATGAAATACTTCAAGAAAGAGATGATGGAAGAAAGAGGCAAGGCAGGTCACGAAGAAGAAAACACGTAAAGGCTCTAAGAAAAGAAATAGATTTGTTAAAAGTCGAACTGGAAAAAGAGAAAAGAAAGAAGGAAAAATATAGAATGAGGCTATAAAGATTAAAAAAGCGACCGCACAAAAACATAGATTCGCCTGAAAAAAAAGTGGAAGCACTAATCAAGGGACAAACTGTTTCTCCTGCTGTTAAGAAAAAACTGTTATTTTCAGAAGTTATAGCGAAACAGTTACCAGAAAATTATCGGGTTCTTACAAATCCTGCACAGAAAAGAACATTTTCAAAAAATATTTCTGGAAATGTTGTAAAAAAGTACAAACAAATAAGCTATTTGAAAAGAACTGCGTCTGTATTTACATCCTCAAAAGATAAATCTAAAACGAGATTAATAAATCAGGAATTGATCAGGCAACAAATAAAAATTTCCTGGAAAATGATGACTCCAGTAGGCTCTGCCCTGGCAAAAACGATTATGTTATAAGAAAACATGATAAGAGGCAGAAACGGTTACTAAATGATATACTCAGAAATCTACATAGACGATTTATAAAAGAAAATAAGTTTCTAATTAGCTACACAACCTTCTGTCGATTACGCCCGTTCTGGATTATACAGCCAAAAATAGAAGAACGAAATACCTGCCTTTGTATGATCCACACGAATATGTGGTTGCTCGTTAGAAGGCTGAAAATCGTAAATATTATAAAAGAGAATTCTCCTGAAGAAGTATGTAGAGCCATTTGTTGCGAAGGGGAAGTACTGAAAGAGATATGTTTAGAAAGAAAATGCGAAAGTTGTAAGAAGAAAACTGTAGTTACAGCTGAATTTCATAGATCGGACACCATAGTTCATGAGAGATGGGTTACAAAGCGGGTTACAATAGTAGTGAAAGGAAAAGAAAATTGTGTACAAAAACTTTTAAGGAGAAGCTTATGTCTACTAAGGGTGAGGTTCTTCAAGCATTCCTTAATTCATTGCAGTCTTTTCTTTTGCATATAAAAAATTATAACACCAGATGAGAGAAATTCGGAAGATCAATGAAATATGGATAATACAGAAGTTCTAATACATATGGATTTCTCCGAAAATTATGGATGTATAGTAAATATGCTGAAGAAGTCCGGTCAGCCCACTTTGGGGGCTCAAAAATGCAGTTGAGCTTGCACACGGTAGTTGTGTATTATAGAAGCTCTAACAATACTATGCAAAAAAATGTTTCTGTACAGTATCCAAAAGTTTGCGGCATGATCCTGTGGCAATTTGCGCCCATCTACTTCCTGTTTTTAAAAAACTCAAAACCTTTGTAGGCAATTTGAAATGCGTTCATTTTTTAAGCGACGGACCCTCAACCCAATATCGGAACAGAAAGATGTTCAATTTGATGGCAAGCTTCATTACGAACGAGTTAAATGTAGAAAAGTTACGGTGGCATTATAGTGGGAAAGGTCGTGGCAAGGGAGCTCCAGATGGAGTAGGTGGAGTCTTAAAGCGCACAGCTGATGCTATGGTGGCTCGAGGAATAGACATATCTAACCTACAATCTTTTTTGTTCCATTTGAAAGCAAACTGTAAAGGTGTCATTCTCTCTGAAGTTCAGATAGATGATGCAGAGCTTGACAAAATTGAAATGACGATATCTAAAATACTGCCACCGTATACCGGAATTTTACAGTGCCATGATATTGTATGGGTGAAACCACATACGTTCATAGATATTCGAAAGCTCACCTGTCTCAGCTGCTCTCCATCCAAAGTTTGTTCTCATTATTCCTTGGGAACTCACCAATTGCAGCAAAGTATCCTTTTTTATCAAATTATTTTGGCATTTTCAAATATTTTCTAATTCCTCATTTTTCCTTAACTGATTATTAGCACAAACAAAAAGAAGACTGATATACTCTGAGATTTATTCATCATCGTCGGAGGATGAAGACGACAATATGCCTTTAGCTATGCTTTTAAACTGAAATAATTATGCTCTTTTACATTTATATAATCGTTTTTTCGAATAAAGGACTAAAATATTAACCAATTTAACATGAGTTTGCAATTATATGAAGTAGTCTTCACATCCGTGAGAGGTGATCATCTCCGTGATTTATATTTTTTCGAAATCCTCATAATTTCAAAAACCAATAGGTAAACTGTTTGACCTTATACCTAATCAAATATATCTTATGATGTTTCTCCGCGAAATTGCAACAGATATTGGAAAAACTCGATTTTTTTTTCTGAACGAAGTTAGATCGATTTAATCACCTTTCATGATAATCACCCTACTATGACTATATCACAACATTCAATTTTATATATTCAAACCAATGGTCGTTTTGTACTTATTTTACAAATATCTTGAATCATTTGGTAGGTTGGTGTCAAACTGCAAACTCAAATGCAGTACGGTATTTTACACGAGTATCCATCACAGAAGAATAACAGCTGATTATCCCTCGATATTTTACAACACCCTATATAGACAAGTGACACATACTTGGTTCTGAGGGATCCGTCAACGTCTTTTATTTAGAAAGCTTCTTTGTATATAAAAAAACTTTACAAGCAGACTGGCTCTTAATGCTGATTACATTTCAAGTCGGGTAGGAATAAATTAAGATAAACAGTTTTGACTGTGTTAATCGTCTCTACCTTTTAGAACTTTAAAACGCAATAAAATAGCTATACAATTAAATCAGAATGTGTGGCAGTATATAACCGAATTCAGGAGATCCTAACAAATTAGTAATTTATATATAACAATTTACTAACAAACATTATTATATCTGCACTTCGTACATTGTATTGACACATTTCCCGCTCAATAACATCGAGATACCTATGTGAATAACAGCTATGTATACGGCCCTGAAATTCATTATTGCTAACGCTACAGACTAAGGATCCCCCACACCGACGCGGTAAGGCGGTAGCGATAATGATGCCATTGTCCGTGCGGTGTTCAGTGTTCAGAGCGATAAATAACCCCGATCACACCAGCGCGGGGGAGTATTCCGCGGTTTATCGCCTTGACAGCGTTTCATTTCAGAAACAGTGATGACGCGGTTCATATCGCGTATCGCCACGTTTTTCATCATGTCCACAACGGAGCCGTTAAACAAGTTAAGAAGTACCCAATACTGTACGACTTAAGTCACGAAGACTATAATGGGATCAGATAAAATTTAAAGTTTCTTCAAAACAATCGGGAACCATTCGAAAGTATACTTAAAAACGTGGATGTCTACGTAATTCGCTCATTGAAGTATGATACTCTCCATATATCCTTCTTTGTTTATTGATATTATGTATCCATTTCTACTGTTTCCTTAAACACAATTATTAATTATTAATAATGATTATCATCAAAATACTTACCTTTTTCGCCTTTTATCTTCTGCTAAAGCCAATAATAATAGTTCTTCTTCACCAGAAGACATATTGTATAAAGAATAAAAAAGTTTGAGAATATCGCGAAGATAAGAAAGCTGCCGTACCATGGTGGTGTGAACGTGCAGTTATCGCATCAAGTGCGATTTTTAACGCTACCGCTATCGCTGTACCGCGTCGGTCTGGGGGAACCTTAATACAAGCATGTCGCACTTCTCATCTCAGTAGACGCCAGAATGTAATGGATACTCGTGAAAAATACATTAGGTTGCAACGTTTAGTTGTCAGACTGACATAAATGAAGTTAAAAGGGTTCAATTTTGAATGATGTTGTTATTTGCCTAGCCGTATCTTGTTATTACTTTTCACATAGGAAGATAAAAGTTACCTCTCAGTGGAGCATTGCAGTCAAAAATGGTAATTTCTGTGGTTAGTTGTGGAAAAAGTTAACAAAACGGCGCTTTTCAGTTGTTAACTCCAAGAGGCAGCTTTCAAGCAGCTTTAAGATACTGACACTAATTTCTTGCAAAAATTCGTTGCGCCCCTGTAGTGAGTTGACGACATGAACGCCACTGATCTTCAAAAAAAAAAACACATTCTGTACATTCACATGCATTATTATTATTATATCATTATCAATAGGTTGTCGTGAAGTAGAGGGTGAACTGTTGAAGACAATGAGGTTTAATCTGTAGTTTGAGGAGCTTCATTATGTTTTTCACTAAAAAAAAAAAAACGAAATAGATTATAAAATAGCTATTGATAAATACAGGGTGTCCTGAAAGTTGGGACTTTTTTCCTCTGTCTTTATAATGCCAAAGCTGACTAAAACCTAAACGAAATTATAGCAAAGTTCTTACTATTCATTTGGCAAGTACTGCGTTCTCACATGTTTGCAAACGCTGTCTGAACTTATCGCTGTTCGATTAAAAACACGAGTTTGTTTACCTCTTTATAAATTTGCAACATTTGGAGCTATCTAGGTCTTAAGCTGAGTTCATCCAGCCAGCTTTTGCACCATATAAAGAAACCTATGCAGCTCTGATGGAAAGAAACGTCGAGGACGACGAGGACGCGCTGAGTATCAATAGGATCTTGAAGATCCTCATATCAAATACAATATATACCTACGTTATTACTTCAGGAATTTGCCAATTTCGGTTTGTTTATAAACTAGGTTAAACTAGATACCACGCGACACCTGATTTGGATATTGACACATGGTCTTAGAACAACATCATACGCTTTGACGTAGGAGGGGCTTGTGGGTAGTGAGGGTGACAGGGTCGTACATATTCATTTATTGCTTTTCCGAAACCTAATATCTCGTTTATCTTAAAGCTTACTAAATAACAATCGTATTATTGCCTGACCTATACGCTGTGTACAGGAAAGTCCCAACTTTGAGGGCACCCTGTATGTTTTGAGATAATTGAGGCAGTACACTTAATGTTCACAGTCTGAAAAGCTTGTTGAATGCTTGTACGACAGCAGATGGTACGAACACGTAGGTAGCACAGCACCATATGGTAAAGCATTGTTGTTACTTCAAGGAAAAAGCCAAATGAGTGTCATGCTCACAGCTGGTGGCTTTCTTAACATGAACCTGCAAACTGGACTAGCGGTAAGTGGAATCTTGATTATGTTTGCACATTGTCGCGCAAGCCACATAATGGTAGACGATAGTGTTGTTCTGTGCGTTTACAACGCTCTGGGCCAAGAGAGGGTCCAGCATCAACACATTTATCCCGTGCGCTGTGAGGTGCAGATATCAAATTCTGCTTATTTGAAGCTTCTTTACTGGCGGATGTTGTTTTAATTTAGGAGATGTTATGAACTAGGATAGGCGAATGGTCCAAAGCCTGCTTGGTGTAGTGTAATTCTGGCGATGCCGAAGACTGAATGAAATGTTCAACAGTTGGAGATATAGTTTTGTAATCACAAAAATACTCGAAAACGAATTTTTATGTTTTTTGGATGATATATGACACATGCAACACGAACAACCATATCACTCATTTTAGTCGGTCTGCCTGCCAGTCTGTCCACCCTGTCAGTTTGTTCGCTAATTCTTGGTAACTTTTGAAAGAAGATATCTATTTAGATGTAACTACTTTTCTTGGTATGCATTTGGACGAAAAACTAGCATGGCGTGAACATATAAATCATGCCGGCAAGAAAATGAAAATGATACTTCGCAGTAATTAAAATAAAACAAGCTATTATAACATATACACTCATAAGTATGTACTATGTGTTACTCTATCCACGCATCTGCAACAACATAACTGTTTGAGGACATACAAGTATGGTATTTGTACCGCAGAAAAGTCATCAGATTGATTTTTAAGATTAGATATAGAGACTTTTGCAAGGAAACCTTTATCCGATACTATCTGCTTACAGTAGCAGCCCTATATATGTATATATATATATATATATTTATATACATATACATATGTGAGCAGTAGTCATTGCCAAAGCCAACGACCAGTTGGGCACAAAATACAATTAATTGTTAATTTTTTTTTATACTCCAACTACCACGAAGGTCTAAGGACTAAGCACCCATTGGGAAATTGGCAAATCTCTAGGCTTAAGTTGACTCTTTTGACGATAAAATCCAGCTCTATGGAGCCTTCATCAGGATTCTGAAAACACAGTTGTGATGCTAGCAAAGAATACAGGACAGATTTAAATTGTCAAACAACTTACTCGTCGTTGAGGTTGCAGCCACAAGGTGTTTCAAAACGCACGTAGAGAAGATAGAACTTGTTATAAATACAGGGTGACTTTGAAGTTGAGTCATTAATTTTCAGATAATGATTGTAGAAGGAAGATAAACCAAAATATGTGTGTAAAAATAAAAAAAAAAATAAAAAAAATTTTTACCTTGTTTTATAAAGTATCCTCCCGACAAGTATTTCAGTGCGGACCTGTATTTGATCGTGAGGTCCCCTGTGAGGTCTGAAGTCACCTGGTTCACGAGCCCGTTGTACTACATTAACAAAGGCACGAGGGGTTGGTTGCACTCGATTGGGAAACCGATCCGCATAAACATGTGCCATTTTTTATTTCGTTTGAGCCACGTAACAGACACTATTCACACGCGACTGACATTGACTGTATGTATAACTGAACTGAATAAAATAAACATCGTTCCAAATTCTTTCGCTTTTTTGTTTCCGATGCGATGAACCGATAAGGTGGATTATATCCGTTGTTGCCAAACACGAGTACATGATATTATTGAGACAGGGCGGTACTCAAACTTCCAAAGGGCTATAACTTTGTTACTTCAATTTTACCAGAAAAATGGTAAAGGAGAAAAACATTTATTTTGATCAGATCTACTCACTGTTAAAATAAATGACTCAACTTCGAAGTCACCCTGTATAAAAACAAAATAACGGAGACATTGGGCTTCAATACACCCGAACATATTAAAAATTATTAAACATGAGAAGACATTTTAGCGAAACAATCGGAATGCAGTCTCTAACCTCCTACTTCCGCTACACGTGGAGAGGGGGACGGCACGGAAAGATAATCCGTCGACAGATGACAAGTGATTGACGCGACGAAACGTGGAACTGTAAACCTCATTGTCCAATTTGGGTATGAAGTAGATGAGGGACGCTCGGTAAACCTCCACCCAAATTACTAAAATGTTGAATTAATTTGTTTTGGAAAAATGTGTAGTTCTTATGAGTGTACGGATGTGAGATAGTGATACACACTTGAAAAGATGGGTTATGTGAGTTTATATTGAAGATTGTGAGTGAGAAATTTCAATTACCAGTATAGCAATTGGAAATGTATTCTAATTTTGGGACGATGTTGGTTCGATTTGGATATGTAGCCGTTCTAGCTTTTCGCAATTCAACAGGTAGGAATAAATGACACTAAGCTGCTTAACATAAGCCTTTTTATTCATGCAATGATCTGTCATGAAAATGTGGGACCTTTCTAAAAATAAACGTTTTGAGAGTCTTTTTTCTTTGTCAAGAACCTCAATACTGCCATAATTCATAGAGTGACCTGTGTTGTTAATATGAGATGCCAAAGCACATCTCTCTGGATGTAATCTGGCGTCAATTTTGTGTGAAGTTATCCTGCCTTCCAGTGACCTCGAAGTTTGGCCTATATAAACTAAATATATATATATATATATATATATATATACAAATGCGCTATCTTCGCATTCGGCCACAGAAATAAATTCACACGAAACAATATAATTAACATCTGTTCCTAAGAACTGGCTATGATGCTCCTGCACATAACCCTACCTTCTTTGTAAAATCTCTACTGTATACATGCACCTAGATTTACAATCACTTATCCACCGACTGCAGGAGAACTAAATGAACCTTCTCAAAGTCCATCTGAAGAGATATCTTGTTGACAAGTGCCCTTACACTCTAGCTGAACATTTTCTTATCCTAAGCTTGTATACCAATTTATATTGTGATTTTTTTATCTCCGGTGCAAAACTTCCAAATGGATAAGGACTTGGGTGTAGATTTTTTAAATGAAGGTCATTTAATGCCTGTGTTACTTGAGTTATCTAGTAGCTTGGAATGAGTGATGAATAATATATTGTATGAATTTGTTCTTCACAATGATATTTTTCTAAATTTGCAGTAACGTGCTACAAGTATTGTGTTTTCAGCCTTATACCAAAGTGTAAAGCCTATATAGAATTTTTAGATCTATCGTTTTGCTGCTTCATTATGACCTCGGGTATTTCGATTTTGTACAGCAAAATTTCAAACGTCACAAATAGGAAGTGCTTATTTAGTAAAGTAAGCTTGATTAAAATAATTTCAGTTCATGAAAACATATTGGTTAAAATATACATAATATTGAGCTCTAGATGACGGATACAATTAAATGCAAGAAATAGGCAGTATTTTCAAATAATTGAGTTGCCAAAACCGAAAACAATAAACAACCTATCATGACTGCCATTGGTCACCAGTGTCAATGTACAAATTTACTACAGTTCACTTTACTGGTAATAAAACCAGTTGTTTTTACGACCATTTTTATTTGCTGAACCTGTCAAAAATAACGTAACGGAAAGCTTAACGATTCGTTACTCTTGTTTCTCTGTAAACACCCTCTATTGTGATTGTGCTGGTCCTGCACCATCTCTTGACAAAGAGCAATGTAAGCGCTCGGAACAACACGAGTGTTTGATGTACCGTGGCTCGAAATCGATTTATTATAAGTTACGTACACCTTCGTGAGTAAAGTGGCATTTGAAGAATGAAATACTAGAATAGAGAAAAAAAATTATACGTTCGTTTTATGATTCACTACCGACATTGACCTAGAACAAACAAGCTCAATATATTATAGATCATAACTCTGTCTCCGGCAAAATGTTTGAAAGCGCAGTGCTAGATGGATGTTTATGCTAAATCTCAAACAAAGAAATATTCCAGAAAGGTCTAGAAGTAACACATGTAATTCTTAGAAATTGATAAGAGTTGGAGAGTTGTGCAAACAGTCGTTATTCGAAGAAATGACCGATAAAAGACGGCCACCTTAAGGGGATAGTCATTCTAGCGTACTGCTGAATTAAGAGAGATTTTTTTTATACTCCAACTACCACGAAGGCCTAAGGCCTAAGCACCCATTGGGTACCGTGTGGCTATAGGGGGATACATGGGAAAGGGGGAACGCCGCACGGACTCTGGCGAGGGAACACGTGTGTATGCAACATGCACACATTCTGGCTCCGCCTACGAGATCCGCCGGGTGGTACCCCCGCGTTCAACAGTCACGAATAATCACAACATCCATAGCCAAGAGAAAGATTTCTCCTGGGACGGGACTCGAACCCGCACAGCGCATGGCGACTGATCAGGAGACCGAAGAGTCTACTACTGCGACCACCGCTGCCGCCTGCCATCATCAGATGGTCCCTTAAGGAAATTAGTTATTAGGATACCATAATTTATAAAATGTAAACAATGTAGACATTGCATACAATTATATTTTATGTAGATATCATTCCGAAGTAAACTTCATATCTGTTTCAAACAACATGATAGAATAATTTAGTTTTTATTTCAGGCTTTGAAGACGATGGTTTCCTACAGCATGTTTTTAAAAACTATGGCGGGGCTTGAAGATGACATGAAATAATATATTCAATTATTGATTATTACCTTATATTATGCTTACCTTTTCTAGTCGAAAAGCATGTGTAGATAAAAACAAGTATGTTTTTAAATATAATAGTGTTCGTTGTAGGCTTGAAGATCTCTTTATTTTTTCAAAATTGAATTTTTTTTCTCCCTTAGCTACAAACTAACAGAACTCAGACAGGGCCAACGTGGGGCGCCGATTTCGAATATGGAGCAATTTCATGCATAACGGATAGTCACAGGACATTTTTCACAATTTTTTGTCATACCGGCTGAAAATGGCAAAAGATACAGCAATAACTTTATCTGAAATGAATTTAGTGTGAAGATTCGTGAAAGTAGATGTCACCGACT